AGTTACTACCATAGGATTGGCACGTTTTGTTTACTTTTTGTTTGGAACAAAACGTTTTAAACACGTTTTAAGCTTCCAATAATTTTAAACGTGTTCTTTTTTTCAAGCGTTTCGCACGAATTTCTGTAAAGTTATTAACGATATAAAATTTGATTTTTTCACGAATTTTATTTTCTTCATATTTTCGCACATTACGATATCGCACACAAATGTATACTACATTATATTGCATATACTGCATTTGTAAAAAGTGATCGTAACATGTACATATATTTTTTACATGTCATGGAAACTTTTGGGACACTCCGAGTATATATTTCATATTTCATAGTTTATATTTAATATATTATAACTCTTCGTCTAAAACTGAACTGTTGGAATTAGAGGTTCTAATAATGACCACCAATCGAAACCACCAAAAATATTGATCCCGCAGATGATTTTCTAGCGAATTGATCACACCGTTAATTATAAGTAAGAAAAATACTAGAAATCACGCTTCCTCGCATTCGTTTAAAACATATTGAAAACATCAAAAAAATCAGCTTTAAATAGAAGAAACTGATGTTTGTTTTTTTTCTCTCTTTTATTTTAAAGATATTCTTTGCCAACCTTGGCAAACTACATGTAGCTCGACATTATCGCATGTTCTAACGTGTAATTATACGTGTTGCACAAATACGAGCAATTGCTTGCATGCGCCAGCCGAGTTCCCATTCAGCTGCCTTCCGGCTCCGTGCAATTTAATTCTATGTAAATAATTATCACTGAATGCAAACGGTATTAGATCAAGTGCTCTGTTTGCAAGATATGACAGATGGCACTTCGAGACGGCATCTCGCTTTCGTACGCCACATTAAGGCCGAACTGCTGCGCTGGAATTTGTCCTGGAAATAACCCTGGACATTGTCAACATAGAGCACCCACCCGTGCAACTTTGTGAGCAACGCTCACGTTTGACAAAGTATATAAATTAATACTGTTGCAAATAAAGTCCACCACCTCAGGTAAGGTTCCTCAGCTCAGCTTTACCGAGGAATAAAAGATCCAGACTCGCCTTTCGCAAGCAGCCATCTTTCGCAAACTCGTCCAAAGAACTTTCCGGCGACGTACAGCTCAGTACGTCATATTTCGCCGGAAGACGGTTAAGAGTTGAGTGTCATGACACGTAAACAGAACAGAACGTAATATCGTGTGACTCGGAATAATGTGCACCCTGAGGAGAGGAAGACTCCTTGAACCAACCGACTGGAGGAATCCCCGCGACCGAGAAGAAAGTACACTCTCAAGTGTGAACCAGCATGGGAAGTTTTAATGCGATACCATTAGGAAGAAGCACGATCTCGCTCATCCTAATGTAAAACACGCTCTCTCTCTCTCTCTCTCTCTCTCTCTCTCTCTCTCTCTCTCTCTCTCTCTCTCTCCGCGCGCGTAACCTGCTGTAATAGCTTTCCAGTGTTACCTGTATAATATGCATGAGGTCGCAGGAAAACGCAGGAGAACGAATGGGCGAAACGAAGTGGAAAGTACGCGAGCCCTGGTCACAAAACCGAAGAGGCACAAATGGATCGGGAATTTCAAGTTCCATGAAACCGATATAATTTCGACGCGAATAAATTTGCCCCGCGGTCGCTTCAATTAACGAAGAAGACAAATCTTGCAGAGGGCAGAGGGAGAGAGAGAGAGAGAGAGAGAGAGAGAGAGAGAGAAAGAGAGAAAAGGAGGGGCGAGGGACACTCGTCGCGCAATTAGCGCGAGATAACTGTTTTCTTTTCTCTTTATTTCTCGTCTAACTCACCCTCTCCATCGAGGCGTGGAATTTCTTCCAGTCGCTGTGATTTCGTGCGTGCCTCCGCGTTTAAAGATGTTTTCTCGACTGTGGAAGCACAAGGACCGGAGAAAATTATGTCATGTCCATCGCGGAGGAGGAAGAGCAGGGAGGCGCGGGAGGAAAAAGAAGAATAGAATTAATCGATAAGATTATGTTTCTTTCAATACGGACCAAATTTTCGATAAAACGAGGGAGGTCTTGTCGGAAATTCAGAGAGTATATTTTCGATCGACCGCGCCTCACATATGTGGTGGCTATATGTCGCTGCGTCCTCATCGTTCGCACATTCGAAAAGCCGAGAAATACGGAGAGACGTCTTCGGAAAAGTTTCCTGAGGGACGACGAACGCGCGGCGTTGTGTGTGACGATAACGATTAACGGCGAGATTTAATGTCTCGGGATGCTGTTACGAATTGTCCTGCGCGCGACCGCGATTGTTACTGTCACGCGTGTTGGCGTCAGAGCCGTTCGATATTTCACAACGCCCTGCATTTCGCGACGACGAAAGAATGATAAATAGGAAGATTTATCTGGTCTGGTTTTAAATATGACCGCGGCAAGATTTGTCTTCTTCGTTAATTGAAACGACCGCGGGGCAAATTTATTCGCGTCGAAATTATATCGGTTTCATGGAACTTGAAATTCCCGATCCATTTGTGCCTCTTCGGTTTTGTGACCAGGGCTCGCGTACTTTCCACTTCGTTTCGCCCATTCGTTCTCCTGCGTTTTCCTGCGACCTCATGCATATTATACAGGTAACACTGGAAAGCTATTCACCGTATCCGTGAAACGAGAAAATTTATTTCCAGAATTTTTAACGACGAAATTACGTGATTATTTTTACATAGCAAAAGACTCACCGAGAGAGAGATGAAAGAAGAGTGAGTGAGGAGGAGGGGGTTGGAGAGGGCAGGATGGTCTGGAAAACCTATTTCTCCGATATTTTTAAATTGAGAAACAAAAGTTTCGAAACAAATTCATGTTCATTTCACTCTCCAGATTCACATACATAATTTTTAAATATCTATTAACATTTAAGCAAACACCGCACAGTTCTCGGGCTTTTAAAACTCTCGTTTCCTTCTTTTTTTTTTTCGAGTATGTATGCATCGTCGACTTCATCCACTTAGTCCGCGCGTTTAACACGAAACACGGGGTCTATTCAATTTTAAGTTATTTAATTTTCAGTTTCATTTATTTAATCCGCGGATTGCGTTTGCAATATGAGACGCGGATCAAAAAGTGCGCATTCAGCGGTAAATGCATAACGAGAGAAGCGGAATATTCCCGTGTCTACAACTGCAGTATATTCGCTCATCATCCCCAAAACCCTCAAAAACGTTCCAACTACCACGACTAAATTACCCGTGTAATTAATTAACCAAAGATACCAATCAACCGGACACTTTAGGCTCGTAGCCAACCGATCGCTCGCAAACTCTACTAATTACGTAGCGCCCGCGCCGTGTCAAAAACATTGAGGTATACGTATGTGTATGAAAATTCCGCACACGCCGCGTTCTCCATTAATCCGAAGTAAACACGACAAGAAGCGCCGAATTCCCGAGAGAACGGCCGAAATTCTCTTCCGTCGGGGATCGATAGGATCCTTACATCAAAGCCGCCTGCCAGGAGAAGCAGCGTAAATACGCAGCTAAATCTGAAAGACGAAAGGCAGACGTGCGGATGTAAAAAGAGCGAAACACACATTGGCGAACGAGAGGAAGCTCGCTTTAATGAAGATCAAGAGTCAAACTCGCATAAAGAAGGAGCGGGTAAAAGTAGGAGCGAGTACGCTAAACATAAAGATAAGGTAGTAGCTTGCTTGCATTACGAGGACGACAGCAAGCCGCCGACGACGACGACGACGACGACGACGACGACGACGACGACAATGATAACGACCAGGGACGGTGGCTTTTCCCGCCTCCGACGAAGAGAGAATCGAAGTCGTCTTGCAGCTAAGTAAGCCTCCGCCGACGACGCCTCCGTAACGTATGCCGACATTTTAATGGCGCATCTATTGTTGATGCGGGTTCCGTGCGAGTTATAGACTGCTTCCTTTTCCGTCGCAAGATGTAACGCGTCGGCACGATAAAATCGAGGCAACCTTTAAAAGGCTCAGACGTTCAGACGCTCGAGCGTTACACAAAATGTTGAAAAACAGATTTCATTTCAGGACTTTAGAGGAGCAGATAGTACTCATAAATAAAATGGAGGAAAAATGTCCTAATAAACATGGGTCAAAAAATTAATATTGTCGGAGTTATGAACAATTATTTATTTTAATTAAAGCAAGTGACTCAATCGCTTCTATTCGCTTTAATTTTTGTGTTCATTTAAAAAAATCTTTCCTCCGTATTGTGATACTTGCTCTTAAAGTTCTGAACCCTTTTTTCTAACACTCTGTATATGCATACAAATGTCTTCTTCTTGTTTCTTCCTTTTTCTACAAGAAGCTCGCCTCTTGGCATAACGAGCATGGTGAATGCGCATGAGAATATACAAAGATACGCGGCGAATGGCAAAGGATCCCTCGTCGAAGAGCAAGGGATAAGAATAAGGTTTGTTTTATCGCGGACCTGTGTGCGCACGGATACGCGATGCGATTTGACTTACGATATGCGACGTAATTCCCTTCATTCACTTTTCCAATTGTTCAGCGGACGGGAAGGGAAATCATGCAATATCGTAATAACGCTTATTTACGAGGGCGGTCCGATTCGTGTGTCTCAGTGCGCAAAGTCAAAACTTTTACGCGAGACTTGAGACTTTAAGCCTGTTCCCTTGCACCGTTTGTAACTTCTTCCATATAATCTGCCGTATAATCCAAGCGACATCCAAGAAGATATTTAGATCAAAACATCCAAGGAGGTTTTTAGATCCGCTACATGGATAACCCGGACTCTGTTCTCTTCCATGCAGACGCGAAGAATCGTTTTGATAAACAAGAAAGGACAGTGTTGGCAACAAAACAGGAGCAAAGGGAGGGGGTTGAGTGAAGCAGAGAAGAGTCGGGGATGGTGGAAGGGAGGAAGGGAGAGGAGAGAAGAAGCAAAATGAGAGAGAGAGAGAGAGAGAGAGAGAGAGACATAAAAGGAGACTAGAATAGAGAACTGGATCAACGCAGGCGCAAGAGCTATCCCATTCCAGCATACGAGGCGTCGCGACGCCTTTTCACTTCATTCGGCGTCCGGAGTCCGGACGCCAACTACGCTGACGTTTCTGCGAGATTACGCGACGTGCACCGCATTCGCGTCACCACCACCATTACCACCACCACCACCACCATCACCATCACCATCATCATTATCAGCATCGTCATCATCATCTTCATCATCACCATCATCATCATCATCATCATCATCATCACCATCTCACCACCATCGCCGCCACCGCAACGTCACGAGAAACAATCGTGCTGTGCCCGTAAGCGATGGGGGGAAATCACGAGAGAGATCGGTGCAACCGTAGAAACGGTCCGGGACAATCGAGGCATCCTAAAAGGAGATGAGCACGTGCGAATTAACCGATCGCGAATTAGCGATCCATCACGCTGGAATGTAATTTCGGCCAGCGGTAATCAAGAGAGAGAGAGAGAGAGAGAGAGAGAGAGAGAGAGAGAGAGAGAGAGAGAACTCAGGTTGAGTGATCAGTTGGAGGGGACGACAACTCGACCCCGGTGACGGTAGCGACAGAAGTGGAAAATCGCAAGCGGATGTTTGTGTACCTCCCGGTGGCGGATTGACGGTAATGCTCGATTCGTGCTCGAACGCTCGTAACGCTGTGTAGAAAGGTGCTTCCAAGTGATATTCGCGAATCCGTCGTTGTGCATGGCAGGGTGCGGCGGCGTTCACGATTAGCAGCCGGAAGGTCTCTCTCCTACTACGTGTGACACGTGTGTTACCGGCACGGTCACACGATTCGCGCGCGAACAATCGCGATTCCGCGACTTTGTGCGAAATCGCGCACGTGCTGAGCGTGCCGCTTTGAGAAAGACGGGCTGATTGCATTCAATGCATTCATCGCGATATCTATCGCGATATAATACAACATAGTGTCTTCCTAATCTTGGACCAATTGTTGAAAGGTACACAGGAGAGGTCGTCGCGGTTGCGGGACAGATAAAAACGCGAAACTCGTGCGGCAGAGAGAAATGGAAAATCTCGACTTTTCTTTCGTGCGACGTCAGTTTGCTGTACGTGCCAAATGCCGAAGTACGAGCTGTCCGTAATTTACACTGTAAATCTTGAGCCGCGAGTACACATTCATCCGTCACGTGCGTCGCGCTTTGGAAACGACAGATCGTGACTTGAACAATACGATAAATGCGATAAATATATTTCAGCGCAAATTTCACGATCTCTGTTAAAAACGTAAAATTTTCATCGAAGACACACTCGACTACAATCGCTCGCAAATTAGATCGATAAAGATACCTCAAACGCACGGTAACTGTACCTGTCTCCCTTTCTTCCCCCCCCCTCTCTCTCTCTCTCTCTCTCTCCCTCTCTCTCTCCACAGAACGAGAGCAAATCGTCTCAAAGTTATCGCGTAATTTCCAGTTCAAAGAATCCAGAAGAGTTATCACGTCTGCTTGGCGTTGGACCGGCGAACGACAACTTTTCCCTTCCGGCCGTGAGTAGTCAACCGAGACTGTAAAGCGGATCGACGGTGTGATGATCTATATACATATATTTTAACAAAGACGCCACGCGAAACGATAAACGGTATACGATATATACGCGAATAATCACGTTGTCGCGATCCGCCTTGTCGAAGAGACGACGGCGATAACATTTTCCCGCTCGCAGTGTGTGTGTGTGTGTGTATGTGTGTGTGCGTGCGTGCGTGCGTGCGTGCGTGCGTGCGTGCGTGAAAAGTGTGTCAAATGCTCCTGTTTATATAAATCTTCCTTGAAAGTTCGTTTCTCCACACACACACACACACACACACACATCCGAAATAATGATGACGGCGCCAAGCTGAAGATATTGAAAATTGAAGAAAATTATTGAAGAAAATCTCAAACGAGTATCGTCGATAATTTGACAATGTGATAATGTGTTTGTAGTCATAGATTTGGTCAGACGGCTAGCGGATGTGTCGTTGCTTGAGAAATCATCAGCACTGGCACCACCGCGCCGTCGATAGCGTCGTAGCATGACTGTCATCGATGTAACTCCATGTTGTGACAAAGTAATTAGTGTAGATTACTGTTCTTTAATACAAGAGCCGACTGCAACGAGGACGAGCACGAGCACGGCACACCGTCGTCGCTACGTAAACGATAGCGAGGACGGAAGGTTTTTCGCCGGTTGACCGGCACTACTCGACGACGGCCCGACTACCCGTCGACGATCAAGAAAGATTTGTCCGCACATCCGCAAAGATGAATTCCAGCCTCAGCCACGAGCCGCACGACAATCTCACGCGGTCGACACCGTTGGAGAGTACGGGCTACACGTGCGGCCCGAAACTCGAGTCCTTCCACAGCAGCTACGCCCAGGTGCACGGCTGGGCGAGTCTGCAGGTATGCGTATTCGGCTCGATCGCCAACGTCCTCAACATCGCCGTGTTGACCCGTCGCGAAATGCACTCGCCCACCAACATGATCCTCACCGGCCTCGCGGTGGCCGACCTCCTCGTGATGATCGAGTACATACCGTACGCGATCCACATGTATCTGTACCAGCGCTCCCGCAGGGACACTTTCACCTACGGCTGGGGCGTTTTCGTGCTGTTCCACTCCAACTTCGGCCAGGTCTGTCACACGATCTCGATCTGCCTGACAGTGACGCTGGCGATCTGGCGGTACATCGCGGTCGCGTATCCGCAGAAGAACCGCGAGTGGTGCAGCAACACCCGCACCGTGCTCACGATCGTCGGCGCTTATGTCTTCTGTCCGATACTGTGTGTACCGCTCTACGTCACCACCGAGGTGAGACCGCAGGTGGAGCTGTTGGACGAGGAGGGCATGAACGTGAACCTGACCAAGCTCAACGGCACCGCTTCACTCGACGGCGCTACCAACACCACGTTGTACTTTGTCAAGCTTACGGAAACCGCGAGGATGCACGCTGCGTTGAAGAAGATGAACTTTTGGATCTACAGCGTCGTGATCAAACTGATACCCTGCTTGGCGCTCACCGTGTTGAGCTTCAAGCTGATAAGGGTGCTGGTGGAGGCGAAGAGGCGGAGGAGAAAGCTCACCGCGAAGAACACCGACATCAAGATGAGTAACGGCAAGGACGGCTGCGAGAAGCCGTCGGGCAAGAAGAGGCGGAAAGGTGCCGATAAGGAGAAGCAGACCGACAGGACCACGAAGATGCTGTTAGCGGTGCTCGCATTGTTCCTCATCACGGAATTTCCACAGGGCATCCTGGGATTGTTCAGCGTTATTCTGGGCACGAGTTTCTTCAACACGTGCTACGTCATGCTGGGTAAGTTGAGAGAACATGCGCGTCACTGCTCAACCGCGCGAACATACTCGCGCGTAACCGCTTCGCGCGAATTCACTTGACGAGATCATCGAAATCTCGTCGTGACTGAACGCCTGAATTTCGAGATGACGGAGACGCGCAACGGTATCGCGCGCGCGCGCACTCGCGCAACCCCAGTTCCGGCTGAAATGATTCTTCCGGTTTCATCCGGAATTTTTTTTGTCAATGCATTTCACGTACTTGCCTGTTCCGGGTTCCGGGTTCCGAGTTTTCGATATCGATGTATTTCTAGTCGAATACGTTTATTCAGCTGCAACACGCCATCGCCGGAAATATTTCATACTTTTATAATAAATACTCGTGAATTCTTTATAATTGTATTTGTATTTTTCGGACGAATGTTTTGTTAGCCTTCCTCTTCATTTGTTTCAATCAACGGATTATACGGCGCTTTTATCGCCACGTATCTCCGCACGTGAATATCACATGCCAATTAAATATTTCTATATCTGATTATGTTTTTCACTTCTTTCTTTTTTTCTTTCTCTCTCTCTCTCTCTCTCTCTCTCTCTCTCTCTCTCTCTCTCTCTCTCTCTCTCTCTTTCTTTTTTCTTCTTTTAATTCCACGGCGATAATTTCTCGCAAAGGCAGCAAGTGCGCGATTGCATCGCACATTATACGGCTTTTCTATAATTAATGACCGTGTTAACAAAAATTTAATCGCTCAGCTAAAAGAGCGAAGGCCCACCAGAGGTAAATTTCATGAGGTAGTACCGTGGAAATAAATCGCCGAGTTAAATCGTTATAAAGGAAACGTTATCTCCTCCTCGTTTCAATATCTTCGCGTGATACGCGAGATCCGCGAGAGAAAAGAGCTCTCGAACAAAAACCTCGTTAAAATTAAAAATTTTCCTTAGAAGTCGAGAAAACTTGTGAATGTGTGTGTGTCGCCGATTTTATCGAGACATCGGAATGGACTTACACGTGCAGATAAATATAGATAAACGCCTATTAAATCGCACGATTTAAAGAAAAGAAATCAATTTAAAAAGATTTACAGAATTACAGGATTATAATGTAGAGAAATGTCCGTTCAATCTAATCTTCAGTACGTTACTTGCGTAAGTCTCTTGCGTCATTCTGTGCTTGTCATTAATGACGATACCAGTGATAATGATTATAACGCGTATAACGACGTAATAGTTCACGTGAACGGTCATTAGTCTCTACTATGGACCAATCCACTCCTATTAAAAATATACGATGATGAAAGGGGGTCTAACCACCCTTGTTACAACGGTATATTAAAACAGGGCTCGGTGAAAAAAATTACGCCGACGCGTAAATAAGCGCGTGTTTATGATTCGAAAATAGAGAGGCGATCTGATTTCAAGCTACGATTACGGTGACGAGAATCTCGAATTTTTCCGATCTCTTGGGCACTCACTCGGTTCGCGGATTTGTCTGTGCTAGCTAGCGGTCGCTAAACATTTCGAGTTAATACGCGAGCTGTAAAAAAAGAAAAAAAGAACGCTCAACGTTTGTATAGTAAAACGTATAAAACTTGAATCGTAAAAGTTCTTATCACCAGCAAAGAGAGAAAGAGAAAGAGGAGAAGGGGGAGAAGACTGCTCATTGCGCAAAAAACGACACAGTCCGATATATAAGGGAGAGTGCCCCATTTTAAAGTTTAGCTTAATTCAACGTATCTTTAGGAAAGCATTTAAGAAAGAAAATGTTTTGAAAAAAAGTCGTTTGGTTTGAAGGAAGCACAAGACAGCGATGTCACTTTGTTTATAGATTTTGGCGCTGCTTTCGAGATATTTACTGATTACCTTAATTTTCTTAAATGGACACTTCAATTTTTTATTACATTATTTTTTCTACTGATTAATTTGTGTGAGTAACTCTTGTTCGAAATATTCTTCTTATATGCCTAATATTTTTGAAATATTTAAGGAAAACTTGGTAACTTATATATATGTATATGTGGTATACCATGCTCCATATATGTACGAGTATATATATATATATTTTTTTTTTTTTATATATACGAGCGTATGAACATATACATGTATGTATGTGTATAATATTTGAAAGGAAATTTTTATTAAATGTGATCTTTGCGTCGCGGATAATAATCGGTGCGATAACGTTTCGTGAAGAAGCGCGCGGAATGATAAATCATCGACGTTTTCCCCTTCGTTAATCGAAGGCGAAATATCTAAAGATGCACGAAATATTTAAAAGCATCGAGTGAAGCTGAAAAGTACGCGGCTGTCTGTGGGAAATTTTTCATCGGAAAACCCGGCAGGAGGGAAAGAAAGTCAGGGAACATGGAATCTTCAAATTTGCCCTCATTTCGCTTACACGTAACGCGGCGAAAGCAAAACTTTTATGTTCGACGATAAATTGCGACGTCGTGAGGAAAAAAAAATAAGAGGAAACTGCCAAATTCATCATGCGTAGGCCGCTGTATGCAATAAACGTCTTCTACGGTATTATTTAAATAGCTCGTAATAAAGCTTTAGATTGTTAGAAAATAGAAGGTCGATAAAAGGGAACAGCGTTTATTACCAGATGTCGACGATTCGCGAACATCTCAAAGTTATTTGACGGACTGAAAATCCGCAAAGAAAATCCAGATCCTATCGCTGTGATTCACACTGTCACGTCGTATCAAATAAAATCCGGTAAATTATTTCAAGAAACGACATGCTTTTTTTTTTTTTTTCATAAAAAGCATGCATCCTGAAGGAAATTACGGCGGTGACCCATTTTTCGGGTTATATCAAGGGTTACAAGTTGTTGTCTCTTTGGTCTTGACAATCCAGTTATCCAGGTAACACGCTCGCACTTTTGTAAAAATAGCTATACAGATAAGATAATATACGAAAAAGGCTGATGCTTTACCGCGACTTAAAGCTTTTATGCGCGCGATTTATGAATATCCTTCAGTCATGAATTTCATCCGTATTTGGTAAAAAAACTGTTGGTAAAACACACATTGGAGGTTGGCGATGGAGAGTGAATTACGTCCGAATGTGATGACGGAAACATAATAAATCTTCGTTAATTTCGTCTGACAGACGCTTGACGGGAAATTTATCGTTCCTTTTGCACGTGACCGCGATCGCCTACTGAATAAAAAATGTTATTAGCCTTATGAGACTTCAGAGAATTCAAAGAGATACGTACGATACGCACATTCGGACTTTGTGAAACGTAGTCTCGCGAAAATTTCCAAATATCTCACTGTTGAAAAAAATCGCCAAACGTGTCCGAAAACTGTCGTGCCTGCCAAATTTCTGCGAATCCTGCGAATGACAGGCAATTTCTACGCGGATTCATCTGCGCGTCCACGCTTTTGATACGCAACTGTCGAGTAACCGAGAGGTTACATTTGTATTCTATCTCCGTATTGGTATGTTCTGATTAACACGTGTACTCTCGCGAATGTTGCGGCCGTATATATAAATGTAGTCTCTGTAGCTAACGTTGCTAAAGCACAGGCCACCGAGCATCGCGTATTCAACGCGTCGATACATTACATGCGCCGTACAGTGGACGTATGTATAACCCACCGTCCTTTTAATTTAAATGAGAGATTCTTTGTGCGAGATACAAATTTTTATTTTGACCGGATAAGTCGATACGAAAATTTCGAAATGTTACGCGAAGCACTTTACGACGCAAGCACGTTAATTAAATGTCAAACTTGCCGGACTTGCCATCGATCCTTTCTGCGATTCGTTTTTACAACGTCATCTCCAATGACCGTCGATCGCGGAGAGATAATTAGAAATTTTCAACGTGAAGAAGGTTGAAGGTGGAAGGTGGTTGTTTGAAGAAATCATTCGTACTGAACTGAAACGTGAAGGAGAGAGTTTTCCATTTCCGCTACGCAATACACAATACAGTCGGAATATAGGAATGTGTATCGGAAAAAGAAAACAGAATGGTAATAATTGGATTGACCATGCGATCCGTCTATGCGACTAATCATTTTCTCATAACGTCGAAAATTGCGCGTAGTCATTTTTGCATAAGACTAATTAAACTTTTGTGTCTACAGTTTGCTGAAACTGTCCAAGTTTGCTGAAACTAATTCCACGCTGGTTTGCTCGGACATGCCGAGTTCGCGATCTCAGTGAACGGAAATATATATATATATGCCATTCGCCGGTTCATTAGCGCAAGTAGAATATATATTTTACACGATTTTCGCAATAGCGAATTCGCGGAGTCGATCCGTCGAATTTCGATGCGCGATACGCGAGAAACGTTAGGCGCGAGAAAAGATCGGAAATTTCACATCTCACATGTATCGCTTTCAACGACGCGCAACGTATCGCGCAAACATCTCAGCAGAAGTGACATGTGTACACATAGGCGCGTCGGCTTTTCTTTGCGGAAAAAGAAAAAAGAACACACGGCGATTATTTGCATACAATTGTCTTACTGCCGAAAACTCAGCGGGTGAAATGCCTTAACGCCTTAACATTCTCATACACATTTCACAGGATTATTCTGACAAAACGCCAGAGAGTACATACACGCGAAAAGAAAAAGACGCTGCATAAATAAGCCACTTGCCGGGCAAAATGGAGCGCGAACGCGACGGCGCTCGAGCGATGCGATGCGATGCGATGTGATGCGATGCGATGCGATGCGATGCGATGCGATGCGCGCGAGCGAGCGAATGAGAATGAAAATTCCAAATATAAAACGCTGCAACCCGCGCAACCTTACTCTGCCTCGACCTGCCCCCAACAACTACACCGATAAATGGAAAATAAAAATGAGAAAGCAATAAGAAGAGAAACGCGGAAACTCCGCGGATGAACTCCCACGTGCGCCACGTGCGGCATCTCCGAGAAGTCATCCAATAAATTTCAGCCGTGCTGTGTGAACGTATATGATGAGAACGAGAGAGAGAGAGAGAGAGAGAGAGAGAGAGAGAGAGAGAGAGAGAGAGAGAGAGAGAGAGAGAGAGAGAG